TTGTCTTCATCAGTAAAGTTGTATGTCATGAATAGCTGTCTCATATGATAGGCAGAGCTATTTTCATACTAGTTTCTGGTTTATCTGTCAAAACACATAGACTTCACATTCTCTGTTGTGTTGAGGGGTAAAGTCCCGAAGGTAGGCAGGGCATCAAAGCTTAACCTAGCACATTTTTGTTGTCCCTCACTACAGACCTGAAAAATGTCATGAAATGTATTATTTGTGCAAAGACAAAAGATTTGCAGTATTAAGAGCCATCCAGACATAAACCTCTTATTACACAACCTACCACCGTTATTTTTTTGAGAAAAGCATTTCTTATGATAACTGGCAGCAGGATTACTTTTTGACCTTAGGTAGTGCATAAGGCCACTTGCAGGCTCTCTACTGGGGTAAATTTCACCCTACATGTCAGTTTCTATGGACATGTTGTACTGAGGCATGGGAAGCAGCAAGGTTTGGAGGAACAAGTACAGTCTTGGGAATCAGAGAGTCCTGTGCTGATTCATTGTGTGGTCTTGGGTAAATCCCTTCATTTCTCTGCCTTAATTTCCCCATCTATGGAGTAAGAACAGTAATATTCACTGACTAAACACAGGGATGTTGTAAGAACGAATGAAGGGTTGTGGTGATGCAAGTTGCTAATAGCACCTTATGCCAGGGGTCCTCAGCCAGTTAGTACAGACAACAAAAACCATTAATACTCCTAGAACAGCAGTTCCCAAACTGGGTCGGGACCCCAACATGGGTCGCAACCCAATTCTAAAGGGGGCATTAAGGCTGGCTCAGACTTGTTGACGCCTGGGGCCAGGGCCAGAGCCAAAGGCTAAGCCTGAGCCCCACCACCTGGGACTAAAGCCAAAGCCCAAGGGCTTCAGCCCTGGTGGCAGGGCTCAGGTTACAGACTGCCTGTCTGGGGCTTAAGCCCTTGGGGCTTTGGCTTTGCCCCCCCCCCCCCCGCCCCAGTCCCAGAACAGTGCGGCTCGGGCTTTGGCCCTGCCACCCAGGGCAGCTGGGCCCAGGCTTCGGTCCCCCCTCCTGGGGTCAAGTAATAATTTTTGTTGTCAGAAGGGGGTCGCGGTGCAATGAAGTTTGAGAACCTCTCTCCTAGAACAGACCAGGTGGGGAACAACAACAAAATTGAGTTTAGAAAAGTACCAAATTATAAGGCATAAAGCTGTGAGTTCAATGATATTGCTTTAAAATGAGGCATCAATTTCTTTCGGCCCCACTGAACCTGTTCTGGAGGAACTCAAGGCATTACATCTCTTGCACTTTCTTTACAAGTTTAAAAGTTTTGGTTAAATCCATGATGTTAATAATTTATCTGAGGCAGTGTTTAATTTGCGCCAGAGTTTGCCATGGCTGAGCCCAGGAACCTCTAGGCTTGGCAGTTCATAGCCCTTGCACCTTCGGGCTTGCTGCATCAGTTATGAATGTAAAAAATTTGCTTGAGCCCCAGCACCTCTTTCATTACAAATTAAGCACTGACCTGAGGCCAGATTTTTCAAAGGCATTCACAGTGGTTTTGATTCTGAATGGATACCAAAAGAAATCAAAAGGGGGACTTATTTGTGCAGGACATTTGAACCAACATTATCAAATCCATTCACAATATAAATTTTCTGTTTCTGTCATGTTTCTCTTACACCTTACACTTACTATCACCAAGCAGCCTTCATTTTTATAGAGAAGTGCAAAATGCGATAGGTATTATCAAGAAGAAAAAAACCAAGAATAAACTGAGGAACTCTTATCAAAGCCTGTCATATTAGCTGAGTTTCAGCAGAAACAACAACAAAAAAATGTGCCAACGCCAGCAACTGAAACAAGATGTATTTACAAGATAAAGCTTAGCCTTCTCCATGCTAAAGCACCCACTGGAACAGATGAAGGGTATACATGATTATTGCTCAGGGCATGTGGCTGGTGAGAAGGTATTACTTGAGTCTCAACATTGGGCAGTAATTGAAAATGTCTGTCTCACTCTCTGTCCCTTTGAGACAGGCCAGCTGTGAAGTGTCTTCTGACTCTACTAAACTAAACTGGGAGGAGTGGTAGATACACTGGAGGGGAGGGATAGGATACAGAAGGACCTAGACAAATTGGAGGATTGGGCCAAAAGAAATCTGATGAGGTTCAATAAGGATAAGTGCAGGGTCCTGCACTTAGGACGGAAGAACCCAATGCACAGCTACAGACTAGGGACCGAATGGCTAGGCAGCAGTTCTGCGGAAAAGGACCTAGGGGTGACAGTGGACGAGAAGCTGGATATGAGTCAGCAGTGTGCCCTTGTTGCCAAGAAGGCCAATGGCATTTTGGGATGTATAAGTAGGGGCATAGCGAGCAGATCGAGGGACGTGATCCTTCCCCTCTATTCGACATTGGTGAGGCCTCATCTGGAGTACTGTGTCCAGTTTTGGGCCCCACACTTCAAGAAGGATGTGGATAATTTGGAGAGAGTCCAGCGAAGGGCAACAAAAATGATTAGGGGTCTGGAACACATGAGTTATGAGGAGAGGCTGAGGGAGCTGGGATTGTTTAGCCTGCAGAAGAGAAGAATGAGGGGGGATTTGATAGCTGCTTTCAACTACCTGAAAGGGGGTTCCAAAGAGGATGGCTCTAGACTGTTCTCAATGGTAGCAGATGACAGAACGAGGAGTAATGGTCTCAAGTTGCAGTGGGGGAGGTTTAGATTGGATATTAGGAAAAACTTTTTCACTAAGAGGGTGGTGAAACACTGGAATGCGTTACCTAGGGAGGTGGTAGAATCTCCTTCCTTAGAGGTTTTTAAGGTCAGGCTTGACAAAGCCCTGGCTGGGATGATTTAACTGGGAATTGGTCCTGCTTCGAGCAGGGGGTTGGACTAGATGACCTTCTGGGGTCCCTTCCAACCCTGATATTCTATGATTCTATGATTCTGCCATTCTGGGCCAAGTCGTTCTTCTCGTTAGCTTCCTTAAATACCACCTGTCTATGTTGAGGAATTATTCTGAAGTAAACAAAAAAAAAAAAGTACCATACTGCTCTCTTGTTAAAAGTGTTGATACAAACTTTACTGAGTAGGAGAAATTTAGCAGCAGGCTTTGCAGCCTGAGCATTATCCTGTATAATGGCCATTCTCCTGTCTTTAACACTTGCTTCCTGATTTTGTAAAACTAGAAATTATTAGATCACATTTTTTCCTGCTGGTTATTGAATGTATTATTGCTGTAATGCATTGTTGTAAAGCAGGGATTGGCACCCTTTGGCACGCGGCCCGTCAGGGAAATCCGCTGGTGGGCCAGGACAGTTTGTTTACCTGCAGCGTCCACAGGTTCGGCCAATCACAGCTCCCACTGGCTGTGGTTTGCCATTCTCGTTCCAGAAGCATTCAGCTCATCTACACAGTTCTGTAGCCCAGTAGTCCCCCTTACACAATTCATATAGTCCTCAGCCTCACCCTCTGTTCCCTGCCCTGAGTGCTAGGAATGAACCAGAAGGTAACTGAGACATCAGCCAAGAGGAGGGTCCAGAGAGACTTGGGCGTACCAAGCAAGAGAATAAGAATGAATTTTCAAAGGCCTCAGGTCCCAGCCATTGCAAGCCCAGCAGACTTAGAGCAGCAAAGCAAGCTGTCTGATCTGCCTTTGGGGCTTGCAGGTAGCAAGGGCAGCATATAAGGCCCATCTAAAAGGTTAAACAATTTATTGTTCATGTTCATGAAAGCACATGGACCTTGGGAACAATTCCTTCTCTATAGCCCTGATGAACATTGAAATATAGAATACATGGCTTGTGCAATGGTCAGGCTGGCTCACAGCTCTCTGTCTGCCTTTCCAGTTTTAAAGCCTGGCCTGTCTCAGAAAAATGTGCAGAAGAAATATTTGACACATTCAAAAATAAACAGCTGGAGGGATGAAGAGGAGGGTTGTGCAGGGATTACTCATTACAGGAGCAGAAATTTAAAACCTAAATAACTAAAGAAAAATCAGTCATTGAGCAAACAGCTCAAAGCCAAGGGGCAATGGGAGGGGATGGGAAAGTTGGGGCTTTATTAAAAATATGCCAACAGCAGCTGGCTATTATGAGATAGTTAGTTTCTAATACACCAGTTACTATTGGCTAGATTTTGGACTGGGGCCACAGCCAGGAACAGCATCTACCTGTGCAGCTCCAGAACACCCCAGAGTAGGATTCCCAGAAAGGAAATTCCCCACTTGAGTATACTAGCTGTAAAGTACTACATTCCCCTTCCCAGGCTGGCCAGCATGTACTGGGGAAAGAGCCATGATTGTGTTCACTCCTCACTACATGCCCACCTGCTCTCCAGGAAGAAGTAAGTCCCACTTACCCCTGCGCAGCCAGGTAGAGTTTTCCAAGTAGCCCATGTAAAGTTGCAAGGTTTTCTTACTCCCATTTATTCCTTTGCAACAAGCAGGTAGTCCAAGTCCCAGCCAGGCACTAGAAGAATATCTGATTTTTACTATATTCCTATACTGTCTCATATTCAAGGAACATTATGGATAAAAAGCCTTTGAATGGTGTTGTTTTTTATGCATCCCCTTACACCAATCTTTTGTGTATTTCTGGAAAAGCAACGTTTGTCAGGGTGTCTAACTGAGCTGCTGGATTAGCATGTCTGAAAGAGAAGCAGATGAAATCCAGCTGACACTTTAAAATACAAAGTTCAAATGCTAAGATATTTGTCATCCTCATGAAAATCCCAAAGTCCATGTAAGGATATATATCTGATGACATCTTAACAACATCATAAATTCTCCATCTTAACAGTTACAGGAGGAACAGCATGGAAGTCTCTGTAGATACAAGAGATCCATAACTGTGAGGTGTTGGGTTTTTTTGCCTTGCATTAGAGATGTACAGAGATAACTATACAAACCTAGCATTCAGCTGAATGAGCTGAGATCTCCAGAGAAAAGGGGAAAAAAGAAATAGTTGTTTTTATTTTTAAAAAAATTTTTTAGTTTCTTTTCATGCTAGATCTATCTCTTTACCTTCTCGTTAGCCAGCCTCCACAGTCTCCAGATCAGAGGTGGACTTCAGGAACCAAAACCAGTGGGAGTATATGAACTAGGAGGCCCAAGTACTCTCCTGCAGAGTAGAAAAACAAAGTAGTGGAGAGGTAGAAATTAGGAGGAGTAAGGTAGAGAGGCTGGAAAGGAAGCTGTGAGTTGAGAAGACAGAGCACATCTGGACAGGGGGACATTTAGCAGTCTTTGAGCCAACCACAAAATCCAACTGCTTCTAGTTTGCTAGACTCTTGTGTACAGTTATGGGCATAACTATAATAGGTTAGCTATGGGGCATTTGGATATTAGGCCTTGTAGAAATGAATACAAAATAATAAATTTACTAGACCTCCATTCTTTTGATAGTTTCCTTATATCTTTCCTTCTTCTGTAATTTGCCAAATCTTTGCCCCCCTTTTCAATGTTTATCTTCAGTCTAATTTTCCTATAGAATTAATATTGTAGTTGTCCCTCCACTTACTTTCTTACCTTGCAATCCTGTCCCCTGTCTTATGTTGCCTGTCCTCTCTTTCATGTGTTTTCAGTTGCTCTCCTCCTTCCTTCCCTTCACCCTTCCCTTGCGGCTTCTACTATCAGTTCTCTCTCTCTCTCTCCTTCCCTCCTGCACTGACTCTCCCACTCTCTCACCTTTAGATCTCTCTATGCCTAATGCCTTTGCCACTCACCATTCCACTCTGTCACAAGTGCACACTCATTCTACCACTTTCACCACCACTACACACACACAGCCAGGCATTTTCAGGAAACATATTGCCCACATGTTGTTATGCACAAGCATCCACACACAGAAATATATGCACACTACCCCAGTACTCCCCCACCCCACCCGCCTCACTGACACACACAGTCTCTGCCCTGCTCTCTCTTTCTCTCCCCTACCCACACACACAGGGGAGGTGGGAATTTTTTCTTTGGACTGGTGGGCCACTTTGGACCATGCACAGTGCAAGCCTGCTGTCAGGGAGGAAGGAAGAAGAGTTTGGACAGAGCAGGGAGAGTAGCTGGCTCAATAACAGGGAAGGAGAAAGAAGATGCCCAGAGTAAGCAGTAACGGAGGAGCCAAACTGGGCTGCCAGGGAATGAGCAAAAGGCTGCAGGGCTTCAACAATGCTCCCAACCCTATGTTCATATTAGGGCAGGGTAGCCTAATGGGCAAATGTCAACCATGCCTTCCCTTAGCTATGCCCTCTGGCCCAATGTATCACCACACTGACTGATTAGCCCTCTCCTAGAACTGTTTCTCAGGCAAATAAGTAAGTAGGTTGTGCTTAGCAAAATATCCTTCCTATTGGTGGGCTCTTGAATATGCCACATTCAGTGGTACCCAGTCATCACTGTTTAAATCCACATCTCTTGTGAAGCGTCTCTTTACCAGTACTCAGAAACATTGTCAATGCTTCACATTGCCAAGAGCATGAGGGGTACATTGTATACACTAGAAGCAGAGTAAATAAACTGATTTTATACAAATTCCTTTTGGGGCCTTGATGATTTCTGACTGATAGATGTTATTACTGGGATGAGAAATAAGTTGGTAGGTGATAGTTATTCTAAAGGAAAAGGCAGACGATGGAGTAGGCAAGTCTACTTATTGAGGGTTTTGTGTTCTGTGATAATGTGTGTTTTTAAATTTGTAAGTATCTAGGGCATCTAAAATGCATTGTTAATACTTAGATTGGAATACATTTTTATTTATAGGCTTTTTGATGGCGCACATATCATCATCGTATCTCAGCACTTCACAGCATGCACCGACTCCGGGGCTGGAGCACCCACGGGGAAAAATTAGTGGGTGCTCTGCACCCATCGGCAGCCAAGCTCCCTTCCCCTCCTGCCCCCGCTCCTCCTCCTCCTCCCCCCCCGCCCCGAGCATGCCACGTCCCCACTCCTCCACCTACCTCGCAGTGTTTCCTGCCCGACCACTGCCAAACAGCTGTTCGCATGCTCAGGGGCGGGGGAGAAGGAACAGGAACGTGGCAGGCTCAGGGGAGGAGGCAGGGAAGAGGCGGGGAGGAGGCAGGTCGAGCACTCGTGGAAAAGAGGGCAAGTCGGCACCTATGCCTCACAGATGTTGATGAGTTTATCCTCACAGCAACCTTGGGAGGGAGCAAAATATTGTTATCCCTATTTTACATATAGGGAACTCAGGTACAAAGATTAATACTGAGATTTTCAAAGGCACCTAGGAGAGTTAGGCACCCAACCATCATCAGCATTCAATGGTATTTGGGTGCCTGATTCCCAATATGATCCTTTAAAAATACCAGTCTAAGTGGCTTGCCCAAAGTCCATGGGATGTCTGTGACAGATCTGGGCATAGACCCCAGATCTCCTAGCGATTGGTGCTGTTCTGAAATTAAAGCATCTCATGTGCAAGTCTGATTAAATATAATGATTTTTCACAAACCTGAATCAATTTACCAGCATGTAGTTAATAACGGTGAGAATTCCAGACATGAATTAGAAAGCAACATGCTGCTACATATTTTACAGCAATAGGTTAACAGAATTAATGTGTATAAAAACTATCTGTAAAACGTTCTTCCAGTAGAGAAAAACAGGTGTCTTTCTGCCGCCTGTGATATTCCCATCAGCTGATAGAAATGCAAAGTTAAAACAGAACCTCCTTTAATTTCACAGTCTGTGATTCCTTCATAAAACTTCTAAAGATCAATTATGTCCTATCAATGTTAAATCCAAGCTGAACTAAGTGATTTATGCATAAATAGCCTCATACACTGAACAACTGCAAGTAACTTATCTATATTAAATATGAACTCAAAGGATTGTTATTTTGGCATTATTTTAAAATCAGCCATTATGTTTATCATTTGGATACTTTACATTTTCTATTCTAGAGGTATCCCATTATACATTGCAGAAGTATAGCTTTGTGTGGTTTTCAGAGGACTGTATGGCTGAAATAAGTAGAGAGCTGTGGTTTCTAGATGGGTCTGTGTGATAAAGTATATGAAGTGAAATAAGCAGAACAATTTTCAAAGCTACCCTTAATAGCTAAGGTTTATCTCACAGTGTCAGTTGGGTTTGATGAGAAGGAAAGGTACGTTTATTTTCATTTACAATGGAAAATAGGTAAGGCACTTGAACTACCCTGATACTGTAAGCATACAATCGACTGTACCCAGCTCTCAGAATAGACACCCCATCCATTCCCTTCATGGAAGACCCAGTAGAATGGACAGATGGAAAAACAATGAGAGAAGAAATTTTAGGACATTGCTTTTCCAAAATACTGCTTAGAAGTTTCAGAGCAACAGCAGTGTTAGTCTGTATTCGCAAAAAGAAAAGGAGTACTTGTGGCACCTTAGTTTCCACAGTATGCATCCAATGAAGTGAGCTGTAGCTCACGAAAGCTCATGCTCAAATAAATTGGTTAGTCTCTAAGGTGCCACAAGTACTCCTTTTCTTACTGCTTAGAAGCTTTGACATGGGAAGCCCAATATTTAAATCTGGCCTCATTAGTATGCCAAATGTACAATTTGCATGCACCGAATTACAGGTGTATGAAACTACAAATTGTGGACTACAAACTGCTGCATGTTGGGAGAACTTCCTGGTTCCTGCCAGGAATTACCCTCTGCCCTCCTACCAGGAAGGAAGTTTCAGCATTGAAGCTAGGAGCATGAGGCAACCAGAGGAGGCTGCTGGACTGTAATCCTGTTTGATGTTTCCTTACAGAATAAAATTTTTTTCCTGGTGGTTTGGCTGAGTGGGTCTGGTCTGAAGTGAATAAAAACTGGCACACAACACAGAACATACTGAGAAACCACAGGCGCAGGCCCCCAAAGTTGTGTAAAAAGCCACAAGGCAGAATTACCTACCTTCAATGACCCCCAAACTGAGATGGTGAACAGGAGTGAGGTTACATAATAAGGAGATCATGCTGGGATTTTTATTTTATTTATTTTTGCAGTGCATTAGTACAAGTGCAAATTCATAGATAAACTCTTAACAGGTGAATGAGAACTATGTTTATAGAGGCTATTTTAATTAGTTAGTAGAATGACAACATATTTAGGTTCTGCTGTAGACCAGACTCAAATGAGCACACAATTTAAAAAGCTTACATAATATAGAGAAATCGTACTAAAGCAAAGACAGATCAAGGAAATATCTAGTCAGCCAACATCTGGCATTGTACAGCAGCTATATTCCCAAATCCTTGTCATATTCTTAGCCCTACTGTCATCCAGCAGAATAAATGAATTGAAGTGTCTCTCTAAAATACTCCTGTTGAGACAATCAGATTACTGGAAGTGTACTACTGGAGCACACAGCAGCAATAATAAGCTTACTGTACATCTACACCTATTATTTGCAATTACAAGGAGAAGCAGTAGCAACATGGTTTCATCCTATAAAGCCACCGTGGAAAAAGAGAGTTGATTATGCTACCATTCTTTTGATGAGTGTTTGTGTAAGAGAGCGAGAAACTAGTGAATATGTTCATTGGCACCTAAATTATTATTATTTGTATAACAGTAGCATGGCTGGAGCCCTGCTTTGGTAGCTTACTATACAGACACATAGAAAGCCCTGAAAGGTTGCAATCTAAGGCCCCAATCCTACATACAAGCACCTGCTTGATTTAAGCATAAGGATAGTCTTACTGAAGCAAACAGGGTTACTCACATGTTTGAAGTGAAGCATTCACATGAGTATTTGCAAGATCAGTGTGTAATTTAAGACAAGACGTGAGTGTAACAGGAGGGAAGGGTGGACAACCCTTAGGTTGATATGTGCTTAACAGCCTATGTTTAGCATAGGCTATACATGTTCAAATAATTTAAAAGTTCTTCTAAACTCAACAGGTCTCTGGGCAGGTGCAGAGTAAGCTATTCGGGCAGGGACCATCTCTTTGTTATGTTTGTACAGTGCCTAGCACAATGGTGCAATGTATAGGAGTATATGCAACATATAATATGTACAACTAAAATAAATGAGTAATTATATTCATTCTGTTCTTATACCTGGAGGCTGTTCTACATTATGCCAGGGGAGAGGATCATCATGCAGTTGCCTCAAGGCATAACGCCACCTTTGCACCACTCCTCTCTGAGCTGTGTTGTGTGCAAAATGCCAGACCTCAGGATCTTGCCATTTGGGTTTACTGCAAGAAGTTGAGATATTTTACTATGCTTAGAATGTAATACCATGGTAAGTTATTTAAACATCCTACGAAGGGACTGGTTAAAATTTCTGTTCAAAACCCTTTTCAGCAAACAATTATGACTCCAAGTTACTGAAATTTCCGTGGGAAGTGTCTGCTTTCCTTGAAAAATTTCAAAGACACTGAAAACCCCCAAAATTTGCAGGGGAAATTAAGAAAATGAAAAAAAAATCATTTTAATCAAAAATTTTCTCATGGGATCAAAAACACCATTTCCCAACCTGCTTTAGCCATAAGAGTAAACTTTCCTTTTTAATATCAACTCCTCTATCATGGAAATGATTGTTAGTTTCATAACATAGCAAAGCTACTGTACTTCATTCCAGCTCAGCTACATGCATTACTGAAAGAAGAAGATGTTTAGTTCCTGTTTAATTTGTGATTAAATCACACTGTGTGTATCTCAGTTTTTAATCAGTGAAAAGTATGAACAATGTATTCTTTGCAAAACCCCAAAAGTAAGAACAAGCTGCATATCCACCTACAAACAGTGTTTTTCAGAGACTTCCTCAGCTACGTAACTAAATGCCTTGTGCACACAATTCTTATATAATTTCATATTTTATTGATCATTCCAAACTTAATTTTTGTGAGTGGATATTACCTATTATTCAAACTATTGATATGGTAGTTTCTAGATGCGATTTAAAAACACCATGCTCAAATACATATACTATTCATAGGACTATACACTTCTGTATAATTTTACACAGCTTTTGGAGAATTATCATAGAAGTGTCGAACTGAAGTAGGTCATCTAGTCCAGTCCCCTGCCCACAAAGCAGGACTAAGTAATAACTAAACCATTCCTGCCACGTGTTTGTCTAACCTGTTTTTAAAAATCTCCAATGACATAGATTCCACAACCTCTCTACGTAATTTGTTCTAGTGCTTAACTACACTGACAGTTAGGAAGTTTTTCCTAACGTCCAACCTAAACCTCCCTTGCTGCAATTTAAGTCCATTGCATCTTGGCCTATCCTCAGAGGTGAAGGAGAACAATTTTTCACCCTCCTCCTTGTAACAACCTTTTAAGTACCTGAAAACTGTTATGTCCCCCTCAATCTTCTCTTCTCCAGACAAAACAAATGCAATTTTTTTCAATCTTTCCTCATAAGTTATGTTTTCTAGACCTTTAATCATTTTTGTTTTTCTCCTCTCAACTTTCTCCAATTTGTCCACATCTGTGGCACCCAGAATTGGACATGATACTCCAGTTAAGACCTTCTGAGTGCTCAGTAGAGTGGAAGAGTTACTACTCATGTTTTGCTTACAACATTCCTGCCAATACATCCCAGAATGATGTTTGCTTTTTTTGCAACTGTGTTACACTGTTGACTCATATTTAACTTGTGATCCACTATGACCCCCACATCCCTTTCTGTAGTATTCCTTCCTCGGCAGTCATTTCCCATTTTGTACGTGTGCAACTGATTGCTCCTTCCTAAGTGGAGTACTTTGCATTTGTCCTTATTGAATTTTATCCTATTTATTTCAGACCATTTCTCCAGTTTGTCCAGATCATTTTGAATTTTAACCTTACCCTCCAAAGCACTTGAAATGCCTCCCAGCTTGGTACCATCCACAAACTTTATAAATGTACTCTCTATGCCATTATCTAAATAACTGATGAAGATATTAAACAGAACCGGACCCAGAACTGATCCCTGCTGGACCCCATATGATATGCCCTTCCAGCTTGACTGTAAACCACTGATAACTACTCTCTGGGAATGGTTTGAGAGTGGTAGCTGTGTTAGTCTGTATCAGCAAAAACAATGAGGAGTCCTTGT